CTTGCACATGGCGCCGAGGAACTTCTCCGCACGCCTCACGTCCCCAGCCTGCGTCGTGCGAGGGTTGGCCTTCCAAGAAGAAAAGGGGGTTCCGAAGAGCCTCTCGGAAGCTTCAGAGCCCTCTCAAGAAGCCCCCCGCCGTCTCGAAAGCCGCCCCCCACCGCCTCACCGGATTGTGCGCTCCGCTTGGGGATACGAACGGGGACCGACAACTACCGTTACTCCCAGGACCTCTCCCAAGATGCGCTCTGAACAGAATTTCGAGGCAAATCCACACGTGGCGGTAGGGGCCTTCCCTGAGGCCCAGAATGGCGAAACCGAAGAAGGGGCAGCGGTATCGGTTCTTCTGCCTCCTCCGAACGATGGGCGGCGACAAGCGGGTGCTGCACGCCGAGCGGCTTTCTGCCGCAGAGCCACCGGCAGACCAGGTGCGCCCAGCAGATGGTAGAGACGCCCGCCCGGAGCGTCCCACTCTGTTCTCTTCTCCCCCTCACAAACCGCATGTGCAGCCAGTGCCTCCCGCAGACACAAGCACACGTGTTCCCTCCCTGCCTCCTCCTTTGCCACAGTCCCTCGCCCTCCTCCCCGCCTGATCTCGGGCAGAGATGATCTATGAGGACCGGCGGATCCAGAGGATGCATGGGGCACCGCGGCTTTTCTAGAACGCTGCAGACCGTTGCGAGAGAGCGTTCCCGCGGGCCCTGGGGCAATGTAGATCAATCCAACGTGAGCGTTTTCCGGTTGTTTCGGATCTGTACCCCCCCGTGCCCCAATCTTTCGTCCGGTTCCTCCATTAGTTTTCCACCGTTTTCGTCCTCCTACAAGTATCCGTTCTCTTCCATCACCCCCCGCCCGCGAACGAGAAACGAAGCAGCATCTGCCCGCAATCCATGCCCACCGCAGCGCACAATCCATCACGAGATGGCGCTCGATGATGCGGGGGACCCTCTACTGCCGAGCTTGTTGGGTATCGCTGGTCAATACAAAAAAAACTTCTCGTTCTAAGGAAGGTCCCGGACCAGGGACGCCTCGAACAAAAAAAACACCCTTGCGGCAGAACACCCTCAACAAAGGAACGCGATTACACGCCACAGGCTCCGGAAGCCCCGAATGCCGGCGTCTGACTATATGGCGGGTTCTGGCACCCCTGAAAAGGGCGCACCTTGTACTTCGATGGCTTCTGCCCGCGGATGCGGCCTCGCTTTGGTTGTGCCACGTTCCGCCGACATTCCGCTGGGCGTGCGATGCAAACTTCCTTGATCCTCGAGGGACGCCCTTCTGGAACGTTACACACATATTTGTGTATATAAGTAGACGTATAGATGCATACTCATGTACAAATCTGGACATGCACACATCTATATATACATATACTAGAACCATCGCGCGCGCTCAAGTTCTAGCTAGGCTTGATAGGCTAACTCATGTAATCTCATGTTGGTCGCTTCTTGCGTCCAAGGACTCCCTTGAAGGCCCTGCGCAAGACTCGGAATCGTAAAGAAGGAGACGCGCGGAAACACAGAAATCATTAATTTCTTTTATGTATTCAACGATTTGGGGCCCTCAAAGGCTTCCTGGGTTCTTTTTTGGGGAGGTGAGGGGGGTCTGAATTGTGGTCTGTTGTGCAAGAGTGGACCCGGGGCCGAGCTTGAACAAAAAGAATAAGGAATTTTGGGATTTCCATTTTTTTCAGTTCCTCGGCGCTGTTCGGCGCTGTTTTTTGTTTGTGCCTCGCGGGTTTTGTTAGCCGGGCCCCTTAAGGGTGTGGGATCTTCCGGGCCTCCTGGAGGCCTGGAGAGCCGTCGGAAGGGTGTCTCGGGCTGCGCGGGAGCGTGTTGGGCCGTTCTGTACGTTCTGGGGGCTCCTTGGGGTCGTCTTGGGCTGTCCTTGGGCGTCTTGGGGCGCTCCCGGGAAGCCGGGGGGCGCGGTACCAGCCAGATGTCAGGGGATGTGTGGGATCTCCGAATGCGAGTCCCCCTTTAATAAAAAAAGGAACTCTGGGAAGTCCGCATTTTCTTTTCAAAATCGTCGATCTTCGAGGGTTGGAAGCGAGAAAACGTGAGAAGGTGAAAAACATGTCACAAAAAAACTTTGAAAATCAACGATTTCACCCTCTTTGGGCTCTCTCGGGACGGCTTTCGCAGCTCTCTTGGGCGGTTCTTGGAGCCTCGTCGGGGTCTTCTGGGATCGGAGCCTCAGGGATCGGGGGAAATTGGGGGCCTCCGGGGGGTCTCGGAGGCCTCTCGGAGGTCTCTGGAAGCCTCCTGCTCCCGCTCTTGGGCCCATCTTGGGCCTGTTCTGGGGTGGTCTGGGGCTGTCCTGGGCGCATCTTCGGCAGTCTTGGAGCCTTCTTGGTCCGTCTTGGGGCCGTCCTGAGGGTCTCTTGGGTGGTCTTGGGAGCCTCTTCGGCGCTCTTGGACCATTGGAAGCTCGAAAACGCGAGAAGCCAAAAACATTGACAAAAAAGAACAATGAAAATCTACGATTCTGGCCTCTTCGGGCCGTCCCGGGACGCCTCTCGGACCTCTCTTGAGGTCTTTTGGAGGCCACTTGGGAGCCTCGAGAGCCGTCGGAAGGCTAACTTGGGCTGCTTGGGAGCGTCTTGGAACATCCTTTCGCATTCTGGGGGCTCCTGGGAGGCGTCTTGGGCCCTCCTGGGGCGCTGTGGAGGTTCCCCGGCAAGGCCGGGGGAGCGGTACGGGGAGCGTCCCCGAGATGTCGCGGGGAGGTGTGGGACCCGGGGCCCGAGGGGGGGCGGTATTTGTTTATATTAGATCTCTCTACAGATATATATATATATATATATATATATATATATATATATATGTATCTCTCTATATATATGTATGTGTATACACGCGTTCTTGCATATCCGTATACAACCCTTACACACCAGTCGTTCATAAATAAATGCCGAGGCGCAAACAACTGAAGATGACCAGGCGACCGTTTTGCTCCCTCACATTTCGGCTGGTGGTCCCCCTCCACCAACGCGGGCCCGCGCTCGGCAGTCCATCTCGGAGAGATCATCCAGCGCCGATCCAAGAAATCCGCGCGCACCTCCGAACAACTATGTTTATACAAGTGTCCTTTTTTTCAACTGGCACGGATGCCGCCCAATAGCAAGCGTCTTGGCTGCACTGAGTGGGACCAGGCGGTGGAAGGTAATATGAACGAGTTGCCTCGCGCTCGCACGCACAGAACCGACGCACGGCTGAGGCTGTCGCGCGAGGACCACTCCCAGCGCGGTTCCATAAGGCCCCACGCGGCCTAGTTGTACCAGGGCCCATAGGCGTCCTGATGGGAAATGCAATGGCGCAGCCGTAAACGACATCGAGAGCTAATGCGTGCAATCTGCCTGCAGCCACTCGAAAGCCCGCCAAAACATCATGTTCGAAATTACCGTCGGCCCGCAAGGCGCCGCATGACGGAGCGCGGGTGCTCGGCAATGGCGCGGGGGATGCCTTCCCCGACCAATCGGGCGCCGATGCCAACGTCGTCCTGGTCGCAACAATGCAGCGCAGACGACGTGAGAAATCCACGCAAGAGGGGGGCCTGCGTTATGTCTCACGTCGAGCTTGCAAGGCGATCCCTGCCATCCCCTCTGCACATCCGGCTGGGGCTGGTGGAGGGGTGCCTGTGGCCTTCTCAGACCCCTGCCCACGCACGCGGACAGACGGTTGAGCAGGGACCGACCGTCCCGGCATTCCTAATAGTCCTACCACGAGATGTTTTAGAACCCAGAAACATGTTCTGAGAACAAAAATAATGTTCTTAGAACATAAACACGACGTGGAAAAGCAGGACAGACTCCGCCAGAAATGTCCCAAGAACATGTCGTGGGAACCACAAAAGGTTCTTACAGCATTGTTTGGTAGGAAAATAAGCACGCCAGGACGCTCCGTCACTCCTTGCGACGGGCCCGCTTGGACCAAGCCTGGGGCCCTGGCGACACGCGATGCCTTGCGAGCGGATGGTGTCTGGCTCCGCGCTGCGGGGCGGGTAAGCTCGGCAAGGCGGGGGACGCTGACGCTCGGGTGCTGGGACGTGGATCGCGTGTCGCTCCGACGCGTCGCGCGCGTCGGAAGCGGCTCGCACGGCGGATGCTAATTAGGTGCTGGGCTGCGCGCGCCCTCGCTGCGCGCGGCCGCTGGCCGCTTGGCGCATCGGCGCCCGTGGCCCGTTTCCCTCCCCCTCCCCTTCCTCCTCTCTCCCCCTGCCTCCGCCGCTGGGCTTCGCACGGATGTCCAGCGTCGCTCCGACGCGTGGTGGGCCCAAACCGGTGGAGCGACACGCGGCACAGATTCTGGCGTATGCCGCTCTCTCTCCCTCGACGGAGGCGCCCGAAGGAGGGGGGGGGAGCGTGCTCGCCTCGGCCGCGGCCTGCACCATGACGTCGTACGTGCCCTTGTTCGGCGCCAGGCCACCTGCTCTGCGCGCCGACGCCCCCTGGCTCCAGAGGGCCACGGTCTGCACGTGCAGTGCCCCCGACGCCTCCCGCTCGACGTCCTCCTCCTCCGCGCCCTCTTCTCATGGGAGCAAAGAGAGCCACTACCACCATGACTCCATGAAAAACGCTCCAAGAGACCCCCCCCCGAGCTGGTGGCACCCCGTTCAGGGCACTCTCTGGGGGCGCGCCCGAAACGGGGTACCACCAGCTCGGGGAGGGGGAGCGACCAGTCCCCTAGCTGGTGGTGATGATTCTTCCTTCTCTGGTGATCTTCGTCTCCGCCCGCGTGTCCTCTCGACTACCCATCCACCCTCCTCCCAGCGCCAGACCGGATCCTCCTCCTGCACCTCCTCGCACTCCCTCTTCTCACTCCTCTCCCTCTTACTTCTCCGCCTCCTCCTCCTCGGCTCGAACTTCCTCCTCCCGCTTCCCGTTGTCATCATGCGCGTTCTCATCATCCGTTTGCTCTCATCATGCATCCGCTCGCATCCGCCCTCCTTCTCACCCCATCCCGCCTTATCCTAGTCCTGCCTCTCCTAGTTCGCCTCCCTCCTCCATCCCACCCTCCTCCCCCTCCTCCTCCTCCTCCTCCTCCCCCTCCTCCTCCTCCTCCTCCTCCTCCTCATCCATGCCCCGCTCCCCTATGTCGACAGCCAGGGGCGCCGCGGCACGGCCACATCCGTGAAGGCGGCGGGCGCACAAGCGCGAGGGCACGAGCTCTCCGAGGGGAAGACCGGGCGGCGAGCGGCAGGGTGACCCGGGCCACGCAGGCTGCCAAAAAGAGAGACGCCGGTCGGGGATCTGCCGACCCGGGTCAAGCCAGGCCCGGGTCAGTCCTTGGAGACCTGGAAATGGGTACCAACACAAACACAGGGGCCCATAGATCCAGCGCATTGAAAAAAACAATAGGGAGTTTTTTCGCCAATTTCGGCCCTCAGGGGCCCTCGCGGGACCTGAAGGCCGTCAAAGAACGGCTCAGGATGAAAAAAACGTCCTGGGGAATGGGTCAAGACTTCCGGGGACCGCGCATGGAAAAAATCACTCACGACATCGGATCTCTGGGCAGGTGGGTGCCTCCACAGGGGGAAGATCATGCGAGATCTCGGCGTGGGTGGTCATGTTTCGGCCACCTTGGAGGCCAGAAGATTGCCACCATTACCGAGATCGGGATCTTTTCCCTCGGTGGAGGCCCCTTTTTCGATATTGGTGTTGGTGTCAACCTCTAACCCTGCGAAGTCAGGCCTTACAAAATCCTGCAACCTGCACCGAACCCCGGGTCAATGCGAAAAATCCTGCAAGATCCTGCACAAATGCCCGGGTCATAATTTGAGCAAAAACCGACCGTCCCGGCATTCCTATAGTCCTACAACGAAGTGTTCTTAGAACCCCAAAATCTTCTAATAACGAAAGCAATGTCCTTAGAACATAAACCCTATGTGATAAACCAAGACAGACTCCGCCAGAAATGTTCTAAGAACATTTCGTGGGAACCTCAAGAAGTTCTTAGAACATTCTTTTTGGTGGGCCTATAGGCGAGCCGGGACGCTTCGCCACTGCTTGATTAATGCGACCCTGGCCCTGCAGGATCCTGCAAGGTCCGGCGCTGTGGCCGACCCCCGTTTGCACTGGCCCCCGCCTCAAGGCTCCCGAGCTGGTGCCGTGGCCGTTTCACCGGCCAACGCACGCCACCGAGGACCCCAAGAGGTGACCGAGGGAGCACGGCGAGTCCTCTCTGCGCGTGCGTCCCAGAAGTCCCCGAGCCTCTCCCTGGGGCCGGTTTCCCATCCCGTGTCGTTCTCCGATGGTCTCCAGGCCCAGCGAGGGCCCCTGCGGAGGCCGACAACGGCCCCCCAAAAAAAACGTCCGCCGCGGCTTGTCCACGACGCGAGCCTGCTCTTGGCAGCGCTCGGGCGTCCCTTTTCTCCCCCACGCAATTTCTTCGGCGGCGTGCGTTTGCTTTTCCGCGAGGTGCTCCGAGACGCTCGCAAAAAGGGGGTTTGAAAATCAGCTCACGCAGCTGCTTTTCCCGGCGCCTCCCGGCGCTGGAGGCGCCCATGCATCGAGGCATGAGCCCCTCGGCGGGGCCGAAACCAGCTGCACGCAGCAGATTTCGTACCCCCCCCTTTCCCTACCCCCCCCCCTTTTGTTCGGCCCGACTGATATAGGCGAGCCCTGGACGCCTCGCCACTGCTCCCGTCTGGGCTCCTCCCCCCTTAATCCATGTTTGCGATCGCCTGAGTTCTGGGACGCGACGAACCCAGGAGGAGGAGGAGGAGGAGGGAGGAAAAGGAGGGAGGGAGGAGGAGGAGGAGGAGGAGGAGGAGGAGGAGGAGCAGGGAGGAGGGAGGAGGAGGAAGGGGGGAGGAGGATGGTGCAAATGATCCGGCGCCGGCCTCGCCGGGAGAACTGCCGAGCGCCGCACCGAGCACCAGGCACCCGGGGCCAAGGAGCGGACGAGAAGCGGCCGCCGTGCGACGAGGCCTTTCGGGAAGGCTCGGCCACGCGCAGAGGCCTGGCATCGCGCGAAGGTGTGCGTGATGTTTTTGTTTCTCGGCGAGGGCCATCGAGGAGCATCTTTGATCATCTGTGTATATATATGTATAGTCATAGATGTATATATTCATATTATATGGATGTCTGTCTGTCTGTCTGTCTGTCTGTCTGTCTGTCTCTGTCTGTCTGTCGGTCGGTCGGTCGGTCTGTCTGTCTGTCTGTCTGTCTGTCTGTCTGTCTGTCTCTGTCTGTCTCTGTCTCTATCTGTCTGTCTGTCTGTCTGTCTGTCTGTCTGTCTGTCTGTCTGTCTGTCTGTCTGTCTGTCTGTCTGTCTGTCTGTCTGTCTGTCTGCGTGTATGTGTGTATGTATGGAAGGATGTATGGATGTATGCATGCATGCATCCATGTATGTATGCATGTATGCATGCATGCATGCATGCATGTATGTGTATATAGCCATAGCGAAGCATACACGCACGAGAAGTCGAGGAAGGCACGGGGAAGGCACGCCCGATGGGGTGCCAAGCAAAACCGCACCTGGGGGAGGCCGACGCCCGAAGCCCCACTCGCCGAGGCCCGACGCCGGCGGCGCCAGCCCGAAGCCCCAAGTCGGTGGCAGCCGGTGCGCCGCGGCAGCGGCGCCGCGCACCCAGCTCGGGGTGCAGGGCCGGCTCCTGGAGCCTCGCGAACCACTGCTCCGCCCGCCCGAGGTCGCCCTGCCGCGCCGCGGGCCGCCGCCCGCCGGCGTCGTCCGTCGGCGACCGTCGCCGGCCGCCGGCGTCGTCGCCGTCTCCTCGGGAAGCGACCGCGGGCAGGGGAGGGGAGGGGGGGGGGAGCGGGCCGACGGCGGAGCTGCATCGGCGGCCCTGCCTTCGCGTCGCAGAGTCGGCGTGCCACCGTGGCTGCTGTTCTGGCACCAAGGGCGGGGGAGGGGGGGGGAGAGGGAGGCAGGTGGAAAGCAGGTTCGGCGGGAGGGGTGGGTGCGGAGTAGGAGGGGGGGCCTGCTCTTCCCAGTTCCTGCTCCCGACCCGTATTAAGCAAGCAAACGGTGCTGAACGACTGGACTGCGCTGCTGTGGCGAAGATCACCCACGGGCTCATGGCAAACTGCTCGCATGCAATGGGCAACCCCTTGCCAATGTGCGCACGTATCCAGATCGCAAGCGTGGCCGACTGGCGAAAAGACAATGCTGCTGGAGTGGCGAAACAAGCAAATGGTGTTTGCCCCTGTCGATCCACGAATGTGGGTTCCTGAAGGGTTTTGTTTCATCGCGGCTGGGATTGTGCACGATGAGGGGGGATCCATCCACGGGTTCAGAGCGGAGGTTCTGGCTGTCTATTGGCTAATAGCTGATTGTTGAGCCTACGGAGCGGGAGTCACGGCGGGCCGTGAGGCGAAAACGAGCACACGATTCTACGAACCAGAAAGAAGTCGGGATGGCATTGAGACGCCCCAATCTGAACACTTGAGCCTGTCTTGGGGCTCTCCTGGAGCCGACTTCGAGCCGTCTTTACCTATTCGGGGCCTCTCTTGGGCCCCCATCGGAACCCTCTTGGCGGCCCCCCGTGGGTCTGGGGGCAGTTCTGGCCGTCCGCGCGTCGAGGCTAGATTCCCGAACACACGTTCCGATTCGAATCCTGATGTCGAACCCCCCTGGGGGGCCGCCGTGACTCCTGATCTGCAGGACTCCTGCAGCGGCCCCCCCTGCGGGCCTCAGCCGTGTGGCCGTGCTGGCCACTGGCCGCGGGACGCGGGGGATCGGCCTCGCGGATCCCGCAGGCTCACCGGAGCATCCGCGCGCGAACTCTCACGGGTCAGCCCTGGGCACTCCGCACCGAGACGGCCACACATGGCGGCCAGGGCGGCCACCGCGGCGCCAAAGGGGGGTCCAGGAGTGCTGGGTGTCGTCGGCGGGGTGGGCCCCAGATGACGCCCCGAGACTGCCCCCCGCGAGGCCGAAGAGACACCGTGGATCCGCGGACAGCCCCCCGAGCGGCGGCACCCGTCCAGTGCCGACGGACGGTTGCCGGCTGTGTCACGCGTGTGCTGCAACTGTTTGGCATTCTGGAGCAGAGGTCAATCTATGTGCCCACCAAAGCATCCTGAAAACTCATGGGGCATCGCCAGGTTATCTGAATCCACTACCCAGTTGGGCGTTTCCGATACGATTCCCTTTCGTCTCTGATGACGTCTTGATCAAGCCAACACTTTCTTCGCCATCCTCGTCAATTATGGTCAATGGTTCCGTTAGCTGTTTACCTTCTTGTAATTCCTCTGGTGTTCTCTTCATGTCGTCTTCGGCTTCACTGGGGGTCATCTCGTGCTCCTCATCCCCCTACCTGGCTACCAAATACCGCTCGCATGTGAACCTCCATCCGTCCTGTCATTCGTCCGCGAACTGCGGGCCTCTCACTCTTATTTGCTGGCCTCCTGGGAACCTTCCCTTCACGCTCGTGTGCCCGACCTTCGGCCTGGGGGGCCCCAACTGTTGCTGGCCCCCCTCAACTGCCCCAGGGACGGCCCCCCTCAACTGCCCCAGCAGGGCCTCAAGACAGCCCCAAAGATTCTCCCGCGAACGCCCAAATCTTGCTGGCCTCCATGACGGCCCCCCAAACGGCCCCACAGCACCCTCGAAAGGGCCCCAAGACAGTCCCAGTCATTCCCGGGTGAACGCGTCGAGCCGGTGCGAACGCCATCCCGCGCCCCGACTGCCACCGGCGACGCGCCCCCGCCCTGATGAGGAAGATCCTGAAGGCCTCGTGCGGCACCTCGAGACACATTGCGTCGGATCCACGTTGGATCTATCCGTCGGAATGCACGCCGGACTCACGGCGCATGTCAATCGCACTTGCGTCGAGACATCGCCGCGCGAACGTCCTCCCAAGCAAATCTTGCGACCTGGAGCAGGCAATACCACTACTGCACGCCGCACGGGGCCTCCAAGATCTGATTCACAACCACTACAGAAGGGGCGTTGACCTAAGGAACCCTAAATAAGGAACGAGGCCTCTTTTTCCCATAAGTTTAACTTCGATGTCCCATCGAAACCCTAAGCAAAACCAAAGGCGAACTGCAAAACAACTAAGAAACACCGAGCCCCTCCCCAACGAAAAGGGTTCCTTCCTCAGTGCCCCGACTGTACCACGTACCTCTGCCGGGGTGCGTTCTGACCAGTATTCCGAGGCGAAGGCAGCGGGGGCGACGAAAGCCTCCCAGGAGGCCCAGCATGGCAACAAAAACGTGGGAAGGGTAGCGGCTACGGGCTACGGGGGACCTTGTCCTCTTCTGAAGCCACCCCTTCGCCCAGGCGCGCTCCTTGCGCCCGATGCCCTCCAGCAGGGCGTTGAACGCCGCCACGTCGGGGTCGTGGCCCTACGCAGCTCCGAGAGGGCGGACCGAGCACTCCGCGGGCAGCGCCCCGGCCAGCGACGCGCTGCGTCCGCAGCGGCTCCCGGGAACTTGCACCTCTGAGCAGCGTCCAGCACGACGGAAAGTTTTTGGCCGAGTTCGGCCTCCAGGGGTCCTCCCGAGACTTCCAAGGACCCCGCATTGAAAAAACAGGGCATCGCATGCCGGGGATAGCTCGTATTCTCACATGGACTCAAGCTGAAGCTCTTGCTCCTCGCCGGCAGGAGGCTGGCAGGAGACAAACCGAAGCGTGACCCATCACTCAAACAGCGGTGCGGGGACGGCCACGCCACACCAGATTGCAGCCTCTTAGGTCTGTGGAGCGCTCCAGAGTTCCCCAGGGGCCTCTGGAGAGCCCCACGGGAGGCCCCCCAAAGAACAAGACAGGCCAAAGAAGCTAGAGCCTCGAACCTCGATCCTTACAGGGTCCACACCTCGCACCCCAGATGAAGGCCTCGCTGAAAACGAGAATGGTGCCATGTGATGCAATTGTGGCCCAGAACACGCTCCAGGAATTCCACGGCCCTCGTCTCTGGAATCCAAGCCGAACGCTGCAACACGTTGCAATTTTGGGGCCCATCATCGACATCATGCCATCAAAACGCTCGAGAGTGAAACACCCGAGCGTGAAGCACCCGAGAGCGAAGAACCCCAACGTGTAGCAAGTATGGAGAGGAGAAGCGGGAACGAACGAGGCCGGGAAAAGTGGGGGGAACGACGAATCTTGCACCAACCGTGCTCGTCTAGGCTCGAGCTGGTGCGCAGACGTGGGTGCTAAAAAATGCACCGCAAAGGCCAGTCGTGGAGGGACGCTGCCAGGGGCATCCTGTGCCGACCCAAAGATGCTGTGCAGACCTTCGAACGTTTCTGTGTAAGCAGTTCTCTTCCTCCACCCAGTGAGCAGCACGCCTTGCGGCTGTCCAGTTTGTCCATGTGGGCCTCGGCACGGGACGTACTGGAATGGACTGCCGCGTAGGACACGGCCTCGTTGAGAATGAAGCTGTAGCCCTGCGCCGCTTGAGCGCGATTCACGGTGCCCAAAAAGGGGGTTCGCTTACACAGCGAAGACCAGTGACATGCCCACTTCACATGTCAAGCAGGATCCGATGCAAGTAATCAGGTTGAGGGACACCCTGTGCACGGCCATGACTAGTCAATAATCAACTATCGGCTCATCTTCCTCTAACTGCTCATCCACCAATGACGTGTGCCGTTCCTCCTCGCACATGCTCCTCCACCTGCCACCTCGCCTCCCTCTGAGGAGGAGTAGGAGGAGGCGGAGTAGGTTCTCTCTTGGAGAGAGGGAGAGGAGGAGGAGGAGGAGGAGGAGGAGGAGGAGGAGGAGGAGGAGGAGGAGGAGGAGGAGGAGGAGGAGGAGGAGGAGGAGGATGCATGGCCAGATGTTTTCTCCGTCGCCAGGGACACGATCTGTGTTGGGATGTGCTTGTCCCCAAGACTGCAGGGGAGGGGACAACGTACAGACCAGGAAACAGTACTGTATAAAATCCGCCTGCCAATGCCTCGGCCAGCTTTACAGAAGGGAGGGAGGGTACTGGGTGAAAGCTTGAGCCCCGCGGTTGCGGCAGGGCGGCGCACTCTGCAACTCTCTTCCAAGCAAACCCTTACTGAAGTAGTCGAATGCATGGCCAGATGTTTTCTCCGTCGCCAGGGACACGATCTGTGTTGGGATGTGCTTGTCCCCAAGACTGCAGGGGAGGGGACAACGTACAGACCAGGAACCAGTACTGTATAAAATCCGAACCAGTGTAAAGCCCAGGAACAGTAGAACCTCCGCGAACACCGTTCTGGACTCAGACATGAGGCCGAAGTTTATTAGCACGTCGTTGCACTAGAGCAGCATGGAATACTCTCGCAATGGCACGGCATAAAGAGAAGGGGTAAACCTCCGCTTGTTTTGATACGATCTTGGAGCCTTTCATCTCCAGGGTGAAGTGCGGGGAGCCAGTGAACGTACATATACCTTTGCCTCTACATCGAATATCCAGTGGTCGAAGATCAATGTGGCACCCAAGAAGTCGGGTAGATTTTCTCCAGACGGCGCCGAAAGCGCGCATGTCGAAAACCACCTCCGAAACACCAGGAAGCTGCCGGACCTTGAGGACCTGAGGTTGTCTCCAAAGATGAGAGCTCGCAGGGTTCTCGACGATCACTTGGCACCCACGTAAACGGCACTCACGGAGAATACTGAAACTCGCGGCACACAGGGAGTTTCCGAGGTCGACTTTTTTGCGGCAGCTGTCTGAGAGCATGGGGAGGCCCTCGGGGTACTCGGCCGTCATGAGGGTCGGGGGACCGTTAGGGCGGTTCCTTGCAAGAGAGAAGGAATTTCACGGCGTACCCATGAACACGGCCGTCACGAGCCCCCCTCGGACCCAGCCCCGAATAAGCTTGACCAGGGCCTTACTGCACATGTCATGCCCCACCCCGTGCCGCATGTCGATCTCGAAAACAGGGTGGCCAGCCGATTTCATGGATCGGCGCCAATACTCAGACAGGTGCCCGGAGCCAGCGAAGATCTCGAGGGCCGCGGGGACGCCCCGCTGCTTCACAAAGAGCGGGAGGCACTCACAAGGGTTGCGCCAATGCTCGAGGCCGCCAGGTCGGCGGCGATGAAATTGTTGTGAGACAAGAGACTCAGCTGCTCGTTGATGCGCCTGCCCCGCTCGTAGCGGGCCCACTGCGCCTGGCCGAAGGTGAAGACCAGCGAGTGTGGGAACTTTGCCTTCAGGAGGCCCAGCACCTGCGGCAACCACGGGAACATGGGGCTGTCCGCTAGCAGGCTTTCGTCCACGCGGCCCGTCTTGGGCGTGTCGTGGCCCTTCTGCGGGTGCAGGAGGAGGGGCCACATCTGGCCCTGGCCGTCCTGCACACAGCGCGGCGCCTGGGCAGGAGCTGTGATCAGCTTTCCCTGCAGACGCAGGCCCTCGCTGGGGCGCAGGTAGCACATGAAGGTGATGATGCTGGTCAACGCCTCCATCACCTGGCCCGCGGCAATCACGTGCTGCACGCACAGGCATAAGGCGACCCAGGGATACGGCAGGCGGCTCTGGGCGGGCACCATGCGGTTCCAGCCAGTCAAGGCGCGAAAGCTGGGGGGCAGCTCGAGGGGCGCTCCGTTGGGGTATGTCCAGAGGTAGCGGAACCCTGCGATCAGCATCGTCGGCACGTAGGAGAGCTCGCATGCGTAAACCTTCTCGTGCATGTACGTCGCGAGGGCTAGGTCGATCGCCGGCGCCGACCTCAGCGAGGTCGCGATGTCGCTGCGCAGGTGACGCTCCTGGCCCCGCTGGTAGAACGCCGTCGCGTACGTCTGGTAGTCCTGGGCGGCCTTCGGCGAGACGCTCTGCAACTCGAGGAAGATCGGGGCGCCCGGTGGAGATGGGGCCTCTGCTGCAGCAGGGAAGGCCCACGCCCGCTGGGCGGCCCTCGCCCCTTGAGCGCCGGGGCCGCGGGGCACCCGCTCGCGGTATGGGCGTCGCGAGGAGGGCGCCGGGAGGTCGGGCGCCACCTCCGCCCGGGGCAGGCCCCCGGCGTGGGCGCCCAGGGGGCGCGGCACCAGCTGCGGGCCCGCCGTCACGGCTGTCGCCGAGGAAGCCATCGCGGAGAACCTCGAGCCCCGCGGGCCCGAGTGCTGCAACTGGATTCGGCGCTGCATTGAATCGGAAAGCTCCTGCCCGACCTCGAGAAGCGGCATCGGCTGCAATGGATTCTGATGGGGCCCATCTCCAGCCGATATGAGAGTGAGAGGCCAGCAACATGGCAGCCGTCTGACGGCAGCACTGTAGGATCCCAGGGCTCGACGATCGCCCCTTGGTAAACGCAAGAATGGGAGCCATGCAATCGTTCAAAACCAGGTGCTTGCAACCGAAATTCTGGGTGTTCCGAACGATGTTCTTCACGGTGAGCACGAGCGACCGAGCCCCCAAGACAACCTGGGCCTCCTTGTGGGACCACTTCTGGGACATAACGAGGGACCAGTCGCCGCCGTAAACCGACTCTGGGACCTCGGGGAAGGGGGCCTTCGGGACCTCGGAGTCCTGGGGGGAAGCGGTGACACCGCCGCTGGCCGAACATTTCAGAGCCGAGTCCCGGGGCTTGAAGATGGCCTCGTGGGCCGCTGAGCAACGCAAACGCTCCGTATAATGGCCCACGTGCTGGACCTCCTGGACGCTGCGGATGCCCCTGACGACCCCCGCGCCCCACGAGGACGCGTCGGTGCAGTAGACCATGGGGGGCCAGGCAGCATTGGCGTCGCGGAAAGCGAGTGTGATCAGCGCGGCACACCAACGAAGCTCACGTTTGACTGAGCTCCAGAGAACACGCGTGTGGTGGCCAGACGACTCGATGAAAGAATACGAAGCCTGTAGACATGAGAGTAATTCACGGCGCAGCAGAGCCCGAGACGCGAAGTGTGACACGACGACCCTGACAAGATCCCCCGAGGCGTACTTCATGTCCGCGACAGCCAGACACCCTAGTCGTATCCGCCAGCCTATGCGGTGACTGGCCCCGATCGTCGGGGCGTCCTGGTCGAAAGTCCAACCGAGAACACCCCCTCCAGCTGACACCGTCGGACCGCGGGTGCGAAACCCAGCGTCGCGGAGACCGCGGTCGACGGAGTCAGTCACGGCATACGTGGGGTCTTCGAGAGGCCAAGGGCAACGAAGTTGTCAACGTACTCTGCATGTAATACCTCTGTGGATGATCGAACCAGACGGACAGGAAAATGCGCATCGTCAAAGGCCAAACTGGGGGAGGCCAACGTGTTGGTGCGGGCTCGGAACTCCATGATACGCTGACAGATCCATAGACTGTGCTTCCATCCCATTGGGACGGCGGTGAAGCACGGGGTAACCCAGTCGCTGGCCCTCAAGGGGCCCCCAGCGCTGTCGGTAGTGATACCTAGAACCCCAGCTCGTACTCGAGGTAATCAGAAAAACTGCCAGAACTCCGATGGTAACTGAATCCCATAGAAGGCATTCTCAATGTCCGTCTCCCCAACATAGATAGGTCCCCCACCGTCAACCTCCAGGGCCGAGAACGCCGACCCAGTAGCGAGGTCAACATGAGGGGGCTCATCGAAATGCTCGCCTGCCCGACGCCCGTCAAGGATCAGGCGAAGGTCACCGTTCTTTTTAGCCACAAAAAAGACTCCCACGCAGGATGTACACTCTCGCCTCCACGTCACAAGGTTAGACTGGCTGAGGCGAAGCAGGAAGCGCGCATATAGCCGAGGATGAGAACGAAGATAAGGATCGTGGTAGATTCTGGGAGAAGGTATAGAAGTATCTGTAAGAGCTGGGTCAGGACGCCGTAGCGCATGCAACTCATCCACTATGGCTTCGCCGACGGAGCCGCCCAGCTGCAAAATTCCAGCAGGTGGCCACCCGACAGGAGGAAGGGCAACTCTGTTTATATTGGCCTCGCTGATGAGAACCACGGGGCTGCTCGTCACGGAGTAGCCCGGGTTAACGCGGAGCTCTCGTAAGGCCCCTGCTGAGGTGAGGTCCACCGGGGGCTTGCCAAATCGCAGAACCGCTCGGTGGATATGCTCCAAACACGCCTTCTGGGCCGCCGATACTGTTTGACCACTGTCCAAACCGTGTTGACCGTGTAGCTGATTCAAGACCGAAGCCACCTCGGAGACCAAAGATGCTGACTGACGGTGGACCTCGAATCTCCTCCGAACTTTGCGCGAGACAGAGGTCCTAGGGGGGCCAGAGGAGGCCGGCACAGGCAGGGGAAAAAGATCACGAGGGCACGCTCTCGACATGGGGCCAGGTGCCACGCGATGGCCAGAGCACGAGGGGGACAGGAGGAAAGGGAGATGGTGGCGCGGCCCTGCGCCTCTGCTGGCGGAAAATCGAGGCGCGCCTGCCACGGCGAGCCTAGCCCGTCAGAGTGTGAACAGCGGGCGTCAGGGGGAACGACCGCCGTGTGTCCAAACCTAATCTGGACCATGGCCCGCAACAGCCCGTTCTTCTCGG